GTGTATCACTATTCAAATTATAAAAACAGTTGCTATTGTCTGTCAGTATTTTGTTTATTCTAACTCCTTATTTATAAAAATTAGTTGTTCGGTTAAATGTATTCGGTAAATTAATCTTCACAACTCCATACTGATAGTTACCATGTGTTCACTAGTGACTAGATTCGTGAGGGAATTCTCGGAGTTCTAGTGAGAAACCGTGACAAGTGGAGCCAATACATGTCAGGTAAACACAGGTATCTAACTCAGTAAGATGAAAGGTGGTCGCGCAATTTCGTGGGTTGATTGAGGTTAGACATAAACACCGTTGGATACCGGCTCAATGGTCTAGAGGTTAAGCTGAAAATTCTGGGTTCGAATCTCGTGGGTAGGATTGCGAGTGCGCACTGCCGAGGAGTCTTATACTAGGACGAAACAGCTGCCCAGTGCTTTCAGGTTTCCAATAATGGTCTAACATCAATCGATTCATGATCTCAATATTACAGATTTATATATTATATTACATTAATTCACTAAAACATGATGTAGTGATATTAATTGGTATAAAATATGAGTAGAACTTACTTTCTACATGCAACTAAATGACTTATACGAACTAATTAGTACCAAATAGTTAATGGTTTCAAGAAAGCTCATTAATATGTAGCATGAAATATATTCCTTATTACTTACTTATTAGTTAAACAAATTGTAAAATTTCATCATCAAAATATACTGTATTATTCAAATAAATGATTCATTTTACTTGTAGTGAACAAGAACACCAGTGGGGGACAACCAAATGTATTTGAGCATAAAATTATAGAATGTTTTACTAACATCTTAGAACCATACAGTAATTACATCATTTACATAATGTCACCCTATTGTCTTAGATTTGACTGTTCTTTCGTTTCCATACCAATCATTCTATTCTCGTTCTCTTCTGTTTAATTTTCTCAACCATCTGCCTCCAGGCATTTCACTTTCGATTGGTGGTACATGCTACTTATATCTGTTGACATCAGTAGCACACACTACAGATCATTTAATCGACAATTAAAGTTTTTCGTTCCACGTCTAGTAAATGTGGTTATTATGTAATAATCATTTAAATAACTTTCACATAATCACACATACTAACTAACTATAACTTCTGGGGTTTTAATCAGAATTATTTTATTGTTTAACATAATGAAAAATCTTTATTTGAAATGCCATATGATAGACTAGTATAAGCAAACAATAAATATCCAAATATTTGAAGCTTTTGAAATGTACGAAATGTTTTTGCTTGAAATCAGAACTAACAAACATTATTTGTATTCTCCCTATCAAGATTTCGAAAAATAATTGCTCAGTTGAGTAGGTCATATAACTTATTGATTTACTGAAGAAACCTGAAAATGATAAACTGTCAACAAAAAGGGATGAATCTCATATAAATCAAAGTTATTAACCAAACAGTCTGATAGGTTCTCGTTTCGAACCTTGCGAGGCGGGATCGTGGATATGTATTGCTCAGGAGTCCCACAGTAGGACGAAACGGCCTTTTAGTGCTTCCAGGTTTTCTATGGTGGTCTAGTTTCAGTTGACTCATGATCCCAACTATTGCAAAATGTTACTATAATATCCAGAAAACCCTATTCTAAGAAAAACTTTTTGAAACAATTCGCTTCTTTAGGAAGCTTTGATAACTTAATTTTTAAAAGAATACGGAGTTGGTTTCAATAATCTAGTACATTTGTAAAATGAATTTGGAACAACTGTATCACATGGGGTTAGCGACCCCATCGCTTAAATAACTAACTCGCTAAAAAAGACGCTAACCAAGTATAACATATTCACATATCAAACTATTTTAATTCAAATATAGAAAATTTCAATTAGACAAAGGTTTCCAACTTGTGAAAATGATAACTAAAAGTGTACAAGAAAGTGGAGGAAAAGTAGTGAAAAACTATGGAAGTTTTCACATTATACTACCCATTCTAAAGAAGGTAAATTACTGAAACATATCGTGAGATTGAATTTAACTTAGCTTAATAATACTCATGTGGTATAGGTTTCTTATATCCACACAAGTAGTATATAACGGTGATCAGGCATAGAATGTATTTCAGTAGAAGGTCGATGAGGAAAGAACGGGAACGGAAAGCAATTGGTATGAAAACGCATGAACAATAAAATCTGAGAAAATAGATTGATGTTTGCGACTGGAACGGTCAGGTTTGAGATGATCGATTGATATTTTGCAAATTAACGATTTACCATATGGTTCTCAGATTTTGTTGAGATGCCCTGTAATTTCTTGTCAAATACATTCGATTGTCCCCACTGGTGTTCTGTTCACTACGCTTATATAGATTTCCTACTAGAAATGTTTTTTTCATTTTATCGGAGGTTATTGAAAGTCTTTTTAAGCTTCTCTTATTCATTCAGAAACAATCTTTCCTTATATCGAACCTCTGCTAATAACTACAATCCATTTTTAATACCAATGCTCGTGTTAAAGTTTATAATTTATGTATTGAGAGAACATGTCTCTTAATATAGATCAGCTTTGTCTTCTCATAACTATCAAATTGCATAATGAAGCAACGGCAGTTGCTTCTTTTTGATTTTTCACAACTTGATTCGTCTGACCATAACTTATTGAGTAACGTTACAGCACATCACTTACAATTAATTTTGTTGGCCGTTAATATTGTCAAGCCTTTCAATTAACTTATTTAATAGACACTGTTATTCAGTGACAAAATATTTATTTCTTTGTATTGTTATTATTATGTGTGGTTGATAATAAGTGACAGTCTACGCACATATTCCTCAATCTACCCTAAATATTAGTCGCCTAAATATAGCTCGATGAATCATGGGTTTGAATCTTATTAATTGCTTCGCTTCGATTATACTCGATTGGACTTTGAATCCATCTCAATTTTCGCTCAATGTACCTGTAACTTTGTTATCTTTGCTATCCATTAATAAACTGTAGTCGGAGCTTCGTGTTGTCTACTGAATTCACCGTTGTAAGTCATTTATTAACGATTATCAATGTGATTGATAGACAAAGCCTAAGGAATAATCTCAAAACCAAACCACTACAATGTATTGCTCAACTTTATAACCAACAGTAGATTAATTGACAACAGGGAATATGTTGTACATTATTATAAAATATGAAAAATATCATAGTAACTGACATTATGCTTTTTTGATATTAGTATAAAAATGAGCATAAATAAATGTCTGATTATATTTTATAGGATATATAGATTGAGACAGGCAATGGAATTCAAAACGTACATTCCCTACCTATTTGATACTTATACTTTATTTCAATGGTTAAGATCATGAGTCAGTTGAAGCTAGACTATCATGGAAAACCTGAAAGCACCTGGAAGCACAATCTCCATAAAACCCATCTGATATTGACCAACATATGCTCACTAGTGACTGGCTTCACGAGCTATATCCTGGAGTTCTAGTGAGAAGTAATGACCAGTGGAGTTCAACCAGGTCTGTTGTGAGATAGTAACTCACTGAAGACAATGGTGAATGTGTCGCTCAATTTCGTGGATTAATTTAAGTTAGACATTAACACCGTTGGATGCGAGCCGGCTCAGTGGTCTAGTGGTTAAGCGCTCGCGCGCGAAACCATTAGGTCCTGGGTTCGAATCTCGCAGGAGGCGAGGTCGTGGATGCGCACTGCTGAAGAGCCCCAAAAAAGACGAAACGACCGTCCAGTGCTTCCAGGTTTTCCATGGTGGTCTAGTTTCAACTGACTCATGATCTTAACCACTGAAATTACTACAATCTCCACAAAACCCATCTGATACTTATACTTTATATCCATGTTGGTATCGATCTTCATAATGAAACTTCAAGTTAAACGTACCAAGTTCAATTCATTCCCTAATTTTAACACGTTTACTAATTGATTAGAGAAATCTAATGGTTTCATAGCTAATTTATCATTAAAAACCACATTTAATTTTCCATATGTTAAATTTTCTTTTTTGTACAATAATAGACCTAAAGAATCGATAAATACTTCTGATGAGTAGTGAATTCATTATTTTCAAGAAATTCTGTATGAATTCTTAAGTCTTTCTTTTTTTAAAAGTTGGGATTGAAATTTTATTTCTGGACAATGTCGGATGAAATAGATTTAGTTTTGAAAGCTAATTGTTAATAACTCACATCATAAAATATATTTGATTCAAGCAAAGATAGATAGTGGCTAGCAGTGGAATCTAGTACGCGCGTTGACAAAACGCCACTATCCATCTTTGCTTATAATGCTTGTAAATTAAGGCAATATCGAGGCATACGCACAGTATGCACATATGCCAATAAGAGACTGATCAATTTCAGTCCTAAAACATCAATGGGAAGATTCAAGTAAAACAATACCAAGTGAATTATATTTGATTCATTCTTATGTTAGATATTTAGAGAGATAATCGACAGGAAGCTCAAGTTATAGGTTTCTTTCTAGTATGTATTCGTCATGAAAAAATATCCAGTCATAAGAGAATTAATATTCCCGAATCTTTCCACTTCAAATCTGAGACATTACTACTAACCTATTAGAGCTGTTATAGACACCCTGAAACTTTAAACTGTTTACACTGATCAATTATTGAATATGAATCGAATTATTTAATAAATTATGTTAGTTAATAGGTGTATTAGTACTTACAAACTATCTTTATTTGAACTAGAATTGTTTTGTCAAAAAGAAGCCTTTGTAACTCACTCAAGATTGTCTTCAATTGTAGTATCTATATGATTATAAAAACATGATAATTGAATATACACAATAGAGTCATTCTTCAAATGAATTACGTGACGAATGATATTGATCAATGCTTAATTCTAGTTTTGTAAAGTTAATAGCTAAGCTTATGTCTAAAACTATTTAAATAGTTGCAAACATTTACACTCAATTCAATGTCATTATGTATATTAATGTTTGTTTTTCTTTTTTGTAATTGAACATTTACTATTTTCAGATACAAGCTGTCGATGATGATGCTGGTGAAAATGGTACAGTCATATATTTTATACATTCTGGTAACGATGACAATTATTTTATATTAGATCAAAATACTGGAACACTTAGTATCAATAAAAAAATTCCATATACTGCAATCGGTGAACATATTCTAAAGATAGAAGCAAGAGATTGTGGACAACCATATCATTTTACTATAACGGATTTCATTATAGAAATTGATGATTCCACTTCAAAAGCCTATTTATCTATGAATTATTATCATTTAAATAATGCTGATGAATTTAGTAGTTATGGATCAAGTGGATATAAATTAAATTTTTATATTGTTATAGCAATTATTACATCCGCTTGTATTATATCAACTATTCTGATATGTTCAGTATTTATTATTCTACGTCGTTCTAAAAGGAATAATGTATCACATGATAGAAGTAATAAAATAGACAATAATACAAGTAATCATTGTACAACAAATATAACATATTCACCTTCAAACTGGTCAAAAATAGATCAATCACAGAATTATGATTTTTCTAGACCTTCTAATAGTTATCGAGGTAATGTTGAATGAATTTTTAACTTTCTTTCTTTCTTTCGAAACTTGATACTTCAGTAGTTGAGATCATGAGTCTATTGAAGCTAGACCACAATGGAAAACCTGAAAACACTGAACGACTAACTCGCCCTATTGTGGGAATCCTCAGCAATGCGCATCCACAATCCCGCCTCGCGAGACTCGAAATCAGGACCTATCAGTCTCGCTCTTGAGAACTTAGCCACTAGACCACTGAGCCAGTCGGCATCAAATGGTGTTAATGTCTAACTTCAACCAGTCCACGAAATTGAGCGAAACATCCACCATTGTCATCAATGAGTTACTATCTCACAACCGACCGGGTTAAAATCCACTGGTCATTGCTTCTCACTATATCTCCAGAATATACATCTTGAAGCCAATCACTAGTGATCATATGCGCATATATGAGCATATGCGCTCGCGCGCAAGTCTGATAGGTTCGTATCTCGCAAGGTGGGGTTGTGCATAAGCACTGCTGGGGAGTCCCACAATAGGACAAAACCTCCATCCAGTCCTTTCAGGTTTTCCATGGTAGTCTAGCTTCAATTGATTCATGATCTGAACTATTGAAATTACTACAATCTCCACAAAACCCTTCCTGAAACCTGACTGTCTTTGTTTTGGTAACCACTTGTAAACTAAAACAGACTGACTAATTATATCGGTTGATATACATAATACTTTTTGGTAAGATCAGACTGTCGGATGGATTAGATGACATTGTACTGCATTTAATAATTTCTATGTGCTTGCCGACTGTAGACGCGTAAAATACTGTTCATCGTAAACTTCTGAAATTGTTATTCCCAACATGGTAACTATTGGACAATTTATTTGAAATATTTTTTCAACATATGTAAATACTTGAATTAAGAAATTTTATATATCACCTTGTGTTCGATATATGAATCACTTTCGTACTTGTCAAATTTTGTGACGAATTAGTCTTTAGCACAACGTGAGATTAGAAGGTAATACGATTTACGATTTAAAAGCTCTTTACATGAATATAAATATACAGATCTTAAGTTTTAGGAAAAACTTTATATGAAAATCTAAAAAAGTTTGTACTGATCAAAAAGCAAAGTTGAATACCACATAAACATACAAAGTGTCCATTTCATAATACCTTAAACTATGCTAATACACAAGAGTATATGGGATGGATACTAAAAAAAAGTGGATTAAACGGCAAGAACTATTGGAACCATTGTAAATAACATTTACTTTTGATTTAGAATTACATTCATTTATTTTCTTGAAATATTGCTGCTCATCTCTCTATATTTCTTTTCTAATTCAATGCAATTCAGTAATTCATTCAATACCTGACTGCTTATCACAATTTCCTAATATTGAGGGTCAAACAAGTTTGGAATTAACAAATTATCCAAATGGTAAACTATTATCATCTCCTTATCAAGATTCAATGTTTAATAAATGTTCCAATAGGAATATATCAACAGAATACTGGGATTACAATAATGATAATAATAATAATAATCACATGGATATAAATACAAATAATATGAACAGACATAATGATCTAATGGATAATCAAAAGATTGAAATATATATCCCTTCATGTCAATACATGAAAATGATGGATTTAACAGATGAGACCGATTTAAAATATTCATATGATACACATTTAAACTATTTTGATGAAACATAACAAAAATTTAGTTTGAAAGCTTATCAGAATGATGGAATTATTCAATAATTAACTATGATATAATCATTCATGAAATCATGATTATCTATACAATAAACGATGTACGTTTAATTTCTAATTATTCTCATTATTAGTCATATGCAGTAATCCATCCAAGAACGTTTGCTACCAGGAAATCTAATTACCATAAAATATCAATTTTGCTTTGCTTCAAAAATAAAATATAGGTAAAAGTGTATTACATAGACTATTTGGAAAATTATATCAGAAATAATCTAGGAATATTCATGTCTCTTACTATCCAATGAATAAAACGATTGTCCAAATCAGAATTCTTTCATTTCAGAAGTGATGAGAAACAACTGAATATGATGGTTTTGGGTGATATATTCAATATTTTAATGTTTATCATATTGCTTTGTTCATGATGTTCAGGATAAAATATGCATCTATTAAAAAGAATACTAGTTTACTCTTGCATTCTTTGTATGGTCATAAGTGCCTCGATAGTCAACTTCTTATATTTTTTTTATATTGTTCAGGGACATAACAGAATGTCAACTAAAGAATAAAATAATGTCATCATATGAAAAAGAACATAGTGGTGAAAATATCTGTTTAATCAAGTATTTCTATGACATAAGATCACTTTGTAGTAAATTGGCGTCGTTACAAACTAGATGAACGTTTATTTTCCACAAATGATAATATAACTATTCCACACAAAATTTTGTTTCCAGTGAAATAACTCCCAGATTTAACATACTTAACATATAATTTCCAGAGCGATTTCTATGTATTAACTAACAACAGATTCACTTACTTTTACATCTATGATTTCCGATGAAAACAAAGGTAAACAAACAAACTGAAAGGAACACTATATTCATTGACTTAATATTGAAGTGAGTTTTCAACAACATTTTGTTGAACTTACCATCAGTTAAAAAATATATCTGATGAACATTATGATTAAACAAGTAAACGATTTACGTCTTGATTTCTATTCAACCTACTTTCTTTTAAAATATCCCCCCCCCCAAGATTTATGACTCTAAGTTTATTTTGTATAATAATCTAATCGTCTTGGTAACAAAAGTAACACAATCGTTTCCTTTTTATGAAGCATAATGTAACAGTCAAACATAGTTTTTATAATAAGGAAGAAAAAAAAACTAGGGAATAAATCAGAATGTGGTTAAAACAAACCATCTATGTAAATTGATTTAATTAGTGTATAATCAGACATTTGAATGTATCATCATTTGACATGATACTTTCATATATCTAATGAAAAACTAGACGTTTAAATTATTTCTGAAGACAACCAAAAAAAATACAAAAACACTTTTTATGTTCACTTAACAACTAAATGATTTGTAGTAGAAATATGTTTTTTTTCTAGAAAAATTATTAGTACATATCCACAGTAAACAGATATTCCCATGTAAAATGACAGTACAACTCTTAAAGTACAATTGGATCGAATATATAAAGAGTTATGTTAAATACTATATCTATGATTTGTAATAATAATAGATAAAGTTGAATTGTACCATTCATAGTATGAATGATGAAGACAACAAATATAAAAAAATGAAAAGGTTTTAGTAAGTGAAAAACGTTTTGTACTATGAAACAATGTTGAATGAATGAAAGAGAGAAAGAAAGAAAGAAAGAAAGTTTTCATTGATTATTGAAATGCTTTTGACATGTATAATTGTGCGATGAGATTAGAATTCATAAACGAACTAATCAGGTATAAAATAATAAGTCTTGGATTTTGGCATGAAGTTCACTCATCTATTTGGTTAAATATAGTTTTGGTATTATAGTTGATATTAGTTTGTGATGAAAACCTTAAATGTAATTGCTAGCCCTAACCATCAACTATTAATCATAATTCTAATTCTTTACATTGGTTTATAACCGTCATTTGATACTAATTGTTAGACAGGCACTCCCAAGGTCACTTTAGCGTCACTCAAAGGTTGTCCACAAATTATAATCTCACTGTAAGATCCAAACTAAGGTTTGAACTGAAGAATAGCTGTCTAGGTGGGTTAGATAAACGCCCTTGCCCGGTTGAAGCCAAAACAAAGTAATTGGGTAAAATGACGGTGTACTATTCTGGATCAAAACAATATCTATACTGTTTTCTTTAGTTTCCAGATTAATTTTTGTTGAGGGTAATTGATCATGAGAATTAGTGTGATTTGGATAGCATTTATTAATATCTAATCAAGATGATTGTTTACCAGAAGGTAGTACGAAACCAGATATGTTATTTAACGATTCAGTCATACATAATTGGTCCTGATTTTGAGGATCACTGTCACCTAATTTGATTAGCATGATAGATCAATTTCGATTACGAATTTTCATACGTGACCTATTAGAACGTAGGTTTTCACAATCCTGTAGACTAATAACAAGTCCCGGTGGGACACGGACAGCTTCACGTATATTTGTAGAAAGATTATTCCAAGATGTCCAGTTTTCATCAACTGTACTCCCATTTTTCAATTGAATGATATCACTGCCTAATCCATGTGATGGTCGACCGATTAAACGAAGGTGACAAAAGTAACCCGTTACATCATCTAGTTCAAGTGCACATTGTGTATTATACATATATTTACTGAGTAGAATAAAACACATCGGAGAAATATCCACAAGTTTTGAAAGACTTTTTTTAGATAGATCATTTAATCCTATTGAATAATTTAAGTGAAGATGGTTGCATTTTTGGAGTTTTGGCTTTAGTAAATATATTTCAGAAGCGAAGTGTTTCATCTCATGCACCATTTACTATTTTCTCACTATCTGGACTGATTGCTAGGTACAGCACATGATATGAATGCCCAACCAACTTGACTCGTTGTGTTATACTAGGATATATCCAAGCAAGAATTTGATTCTATGATTAACCATGTGTACTGACCAATTCGTTACTATGTATGGACCAGGCAATATTACAAAACTGACTTCCAGTATCCACGCTACGTAAAGCCTGACCAGTTAATCTATTCCAAAATCGAATACAACGATCAACTGTACCACCTTCACTTGCGAGTAATCCATGTTGTTTCATAGAATATTGAAAGATTAATCAAGAGTAAAAGTTTGTTTATGATTGAAAAGATTATTCAATTGTTTCTATGCTTATTTCAATGATTACAATCTCTATGAATGCTATTTGAAATAAATATTTCAATTAAATTTCAGGTCTCATTTGGATATGTATATTCTACAAAATATGATGAAATGAACTATACATATTAAAATAACATTACTTAACATACCAGAAGAAGAATATGAATTGGCAAGTATTTTGTTTGCTTATCTATTCATGTAATACTTTCGTAATTCTAGACAATCTTACTTAAACCTCATGCTAACAGATATACATATATATTTTCTCAAAAGATAACAATCTCAGTATACTATTTATATGTAAAGCCATTATAAAATTTCCCAGTGGTTTCTTAAATATTATTAAAGAAATCACACTTAGAAACTGTATAATCTTGATTTGCATATATACCTAACTGTAAATAGCAATACAAATAAGACATTGAAACTTGCGTTATTCATATATTTCCCATGTACATGGTTTTTTTGTAATTTTCTTATAATTACCTTTAAAAAATACATCATATTTCCTCCATTATGTATGTTTCTTTTTAACTAAAATTATGAGGTTGTAAGGCCTAAAGGTAGTCTTCAACAATTGTATTATGGGTAGTAGATTATTGTTTCCTTTATAAGAACTTTAGATTAAAAATGATCATAAGACAAAAGTGAACTTGAATTTTCTAAATAAGTGTTCGAATTAGAACTAAATCCTTCAATAATTTAAATGATATTTCTTTCTGAATTCCAATATCATTAGTAATAACATATTTGAATTAAATTTTATCTTAGAACTAAGAATAAAATTCATTCAATAAACCATTGTTCATTTCATCTGACCACTGTGATTTCCTGTGTTCAGATGTAAGTACAACCAACAGAATTTAACATTAAAGTTCTTTTAAGTGTTTAGTAACAGAATGTTCTAAGAAAATCGGACAATACTGAGGAGAAAGAAGTGCATGTATATGCAAAAACGTTAGATCGAGAACATGATTAGAATTAACCAGGTATTTAAAGTTATAAACTGAATTCAAAGCTAATAAAAATGTATTTGGATATTTATCTATAAGCGATTAACTATCATGACTAACCTTATATTGAGTAAAATATCTTCATAAGAAAGCTCAATACTAAATAATAAGTGGAGATATTTTTATGTAGAATAAAGCATATTTCAGGAATATTAAAAAATAACGTTTTCTTAGAATAGATGCGTGCAAAAAGAAGATTAAGATTTCCTACTACAACATACTAATTATTCATGCAAACGTGAGGGAAGTTTTTCTAGTGAATCATTCACATATATAGTAGTTAAAATGTAAATGATATAAGAAATTTATAATGTTCAGTATTTTACAACTTATATTTCATTAAGGGTAAAACTATGTATTATCCGAATATGTTTTTATGTATATGTTCACTCATAAATGTTTAAGCTCAGCAATAAACATTGATCAGATTAGTGGTTGTGAAGATTGTTAAGTTTTTGATTGAGATCGTGAACCGATTGATGTTAGACCACCATTGAAAACCTGGAAGCACTGGACGGCCGTTTCGTTGTATTATGGGACTCCTCAGCAGTGCGCATCCACAGCCGTCCAGTGCTTCCAAGTTTTCAATGGTGGTCCAACATCAATCGATTTATAATCTCAATAATAAACTTTGACTTAGATAGATGTTTTGTTACATAGTCAACAAGAACATCGTGAAGTGCAAAGTTACAGTATGCTTTCATGAAATATGAAAACCAAACATTAACTACATAATTTACACATTTTTTCACTAATTGTTCATTAAATGCTTCATGATTCTATCTGTTCTTTCTCTTCGACTGAATCTTCTCAATTTTCTGTTGTTATACATACAACTTAGATCTGTCAATCAACATAAGTCGAATATACTACAGTCAGAACTGGTATCAAGAAATATTTAAGCATTTTAAAGTATTTCACATCAACATCCTGAAACTGTCTAATATTATATTCATGTTAACATATAAATAAAGTCAATGTATATTTTACCTCATATTGTATATCTATTTGATGACGTGAAATAAAAGAATGAACAACAGCAACAACAACAACGACAACAACAATAACAACAATAGGACGAAACGGCCGTCCAGTGCTTCCAGATTTCCAAAGGTGGTGGTCTAACATCAATCGGTTCATGATCTCAATGAAAAACGTAATAATCTCCACAACCCCACATACTAGTTTTTTCTAACAATAACTAAGTTTTGTCGAATTTTACATGAAATTACAAACTACATTTTATAATACGTGTAAAAATGTCAATTTCTTTCATTAGATACAAACATAATTGTTTTTTTTTCTAAAACAAACCAGAAACACAAAAAAATTGTCAAACAATCCAAATTGTCAAACTTATTTAAAAGTTTACTTTTTTAAAATGTATGACGCTGGTGAAATTCCAATCCATTGATTATTGAATAGTCATTCAAGTGATATAAAGTGAATATATATGTATATATATATATATATATATATATATATTGTTAATTTAATTTTCACATAATGTTATATGAGTTGTATCAGGAAAGATCTATTCACAAAGACAACTTAAGTGTTTAAGTTATATTAAGAAAATTTAATTGTATAAAGGTTTTGATTGAAATCATGAACTACTATTGAATAATGGGAAGCACTGAATGGCCGGTTTGTCCTATTGTGGGACTCCTCAGCAATGCAAATCCATGATCTTACTCATAGGATTCAAACCAAAGGTCTTCGATCTTGCTCGCGAGCGCTTATCCTCTAGACTAGTGAGCTGGTATCCTAGCTTACCGAATTAAATGAAAGATGCATATACTTTTATGATAGACTATCATGATAAAAGCAATTTAGGAGTTACTTTGTCATCCGTTTTTATATTTTACGTAGATTAATTTTGAAATGATAAAAGGTAAAAGGAAATTTGTGAATTAAAGAATCATGTTTTTGTTTCGTTTATTGAAACACTGATACGTATGGGTTACGCATAAATAAACGTGGGACATATAAACGGTTCATATATTATTTTCTTTGTTTTTATGAAACAAATCTTTGAATACCTTATCTATTCAGTATCAGCGTTTCAATTCAAATATTATCACTATCAAGTTTTTGTTGTAGATCACCAACGTAGATGATCTATGTCGAAATGATTGGAGGCCTACTCGAGTTAGACGTGAATGGTGTGACAAACTAGCTAATGTCGAAGTCACACCTTGTGGTCAGCACCTTACGTGGACTACCCCATTGACGTATCAAGGTACCATAGATGCTTTGAAGACTGTACAACACAGAGGACGTTATTACAGAAATATATTAGTTAAGGTAGATACAAGCAAAAGTAAGACCACTGCCGCATGGGCCAGTCCATGGCATATGATTAACTAATGCACGTTGGTTGTATATGACCTTGGCAGGGAGCGATGATCTGTTTGACATTCAGTGATCCAACTGCCGGATGATTTGGCTAGGGCTCAGTGACATTTCACTGGCCCTACATTGTATTAAAAATTGTAATTTAAAAATCGATTTATTCTAGTTTGCTTACTTTTCATAACAAACCTATATTAGTGTGGGTTTTTTTGTACTTGAGTATTAGCCTCATGAAACATTTTTAGCGGTTATTATCATATGTAGACAAAGATGATGAATGAATATGAAAGAATAAAAAAAACAGTGAATTATCTTTGAATGTTGGGAGTTATGCAATGATTTAGTTGAACAGATCTAAATATGTTTACCAGAAGGCAGAATGTGTGCTTCTGGTAATATTTGATGTCAGTTTAGAATCTAATATGGTTCAAAAGTACAGAACAGAAATAAATAAGTTGTAGTATTCACAAATTACTATCTTTTTCAGTTGAAGTCATAGAATATTGACCTTCCTGATGAATATATATATGGATCAAACCATATCGCAGGTCATGTGCAGTTATGGGTAGTTTCCACGAAATCTCTCAACTGAAATCTAATCACGTATTCACTAACAACTTGCCTCGGGATGAATTTTCATAATTCTAAAAGCACTTCATATCTGATGCGATTCAGCCCTATTAGGAATAAAACTGTCACTATTAGGAGAATGATATACTACAAAGCCTGGTTAGATTATAACCTGTTCAGTAACAACCGGTGAGTAAAAAGCTCGAGTGTGGAAGTATTTAGGTCGACCAAGTGGATTAATTTGTCTGAATGGCTGCCAAATTATCCACTTCTGGGTAAGATCAATATTATATGTTCTCATAATTTGTATTTACATTGACTTAGTCATTAGAAATGAAACTTTCTGTTCCAAATTAGCTTTAATATTCAGTAACGCTGGTTAAGCCAGTGTTTAAAAATATATTTCATGATTGAATCGAACTGTTATACCATTGAATGATCTAAATTTGTACTGTTTTTAAAATGTTAACCATTGAATTTTAAATCATATATACAGTTCTTTCTTCATCTTTTTCTACAAACTATAACATATTGATGGATAGTGGCTAGCAGTGGAATCCAGGACGCGAGTTTCTTCGTCTTCAGAACTCGTCATCTGGATGTACCTGCATCTCAGAGTTGATGTTCACTCTGGGACTCGAACCCAGTATCATTCGCTTCGAACTCCATCCATCGTTACTCACAAAAACCTCATGAATTAAGGCAATATTGAGACATACGCACATATGCACATATGCTAATAACAGACTGATCCATTACAGTCTTAAACCTCAATGGGAAGATACAAGCCTAAATAATACCAAGTGAATTTATAACATATTGATTTCAGATAAAAAAAACAATAAATTACAATCAATACAACTAATCATCTTCTTTCATCAATGAGGTAACACTTGATAATGGAATACGTTTTTTTCTAATCTAGCGCAAACCCATGTTACAAACATATTCTAGTCATAATATTCCGGAAAAAGATTTAGTGACCTTACAATTGACTTGCTCGAGAGAGAGAGAGAGAGGGAGAGAGAGAGGAAAGAAAACAAACAAGCGTCAAGTGATTTCTGTTGTATTTATTCATTTGTTTACAGTTAATGCACTTCTTTTGAAAAAAAATCTTTTTTTTGTTATTACTAAGGTGACATGTAATTCAATTAGTAATAACAAAAGAGTCTTTTTTTTCTTCAATTTTGAAAAGATTTTTCTTAGAAAAGAGAAAACAAGGTCAGTTTTAGGACGAAGTATTATCATTATTATTATTATTAATAGGAAACAAGAATAGAATTCATTTTATGAACGATACTTTATTTAATGTAGGAAGAGAGAGGGAGAGAGTGGGAGAACGAATAATAAATCGGATCGGAACTTTGGACTGTATATTTTAATGAG